TCCAAACCCTCATCTCTCGTACCTGAAAATAGAAACATGCAAAATACCTTCCATTAAAATGCAATATTATAAAAAATGAGCATAAGCTGTATATAAACAAGTAGCACATTTTTGGGCATGTTAACTTCCCCAAACTTAAACAATACTTGTCCTCAAGTAACACTATAACTTTGAAAACCAAATTTGTTGATTTGAGGTAGTGGGTTTCAGTAGAGTTTCCTATAATTTTATCTTATAAATGTTATAGTGTAACTTTAGAGAAATTCTAGCAAATCAACGTAGTACTAGAGTGCAATAATATCTCACATTCAACTTAGGAATCATGATTTTCTATTTACTTAAAAGCTATTGAAACTTGTCAGACTAATGATTCTAAGAAAGTTTAGAATTTAAGCACCCAATCTATACCAATTTGAACAATACTTTTTTGAAATAAGAATAAGCTTAGGGTTGTTCCTAAGTCTTTTCATTTAAGAGATTCAATTGAAAGCAATTTTTTATTAGATTGCTTCTCAAGCTTCTCCTCACTATTCATTTCTTTTTTACTTTCTCTTTTCTTTTTTTTTCTTTTTTTTTGGATCTTTTTTTCAATCCTTTCAATTTTCATTTGAGAATTAATGTTGGATAAGCCTTTAATAGATTTGAATTTCACAATCCCCTTTCTAAAGTTCAAAACTCAAAACTTTCCCTCACTTTTAAAAAGTGTGTATTAGTTTGAAAAAGGTTTCAATAAATGCTCGATTCTCATAAAGTATAAATTTAAGAATCTTAGCTTTTAAAATATTCAACTCCTTTCTACCATAAATAACAAAATTATTTTCCTAATATTTCATACAAAATATCTTAACTTTGGAACAGTTTCTTCACATATGATCCCAACTATGTTTTTTCTAACATTATTAAAATCAAAATTATAATAACCTAAAGGTAACACCATATGCCATAAGTCATTTTAAAAGTGATATCAAATTAAATTTAGGCTATTGAGGACAAATAAAGTTAAGTTTTAAAATATTTTCCTTCCCCAAAACTTGATTTTAAACATGTATAACATTAAGTATATAAAATATACGTAGGAAAAAAAATCATAGCCCCGAAGTACAATCTACCACGGGTGTCTATCAAAACATTTGCAAATATACTTAAGCCAAAACAATGTGCACTAGAAAATAAATCTAAACTAAAACATGCTGAAATGAAATTAAACTAAAGAAAAGCCTAACTAGCATAACGAATATCAACATAGGAATGTATTTAAGTGTTCCCCTAGACCTTTATATTGTTGTAACACATACACAAACACACTTGATAAATGAGGTCAATTCTTCCTCCATCTTATCACACCTTCATACCTTACTTCCAATTATAACTTAATCACTTTGCTAATCAATTGGGTACTTTTAAAGGTTTCTATTAGGTCTAACTACGTGGATATGAATATCCCTGATATATTGGCTCGTGAATACCAACCTCAGGCATCACCATATCCTTTAAATTATGCCCCTCTAACAGTTATATGGGTAGTGTAATATCATCCTCGGGTTATTCATTAACAAGTTTATTGAACCATATTGAAGAAAACAAGGTTAGATAAAGGAATTAAAAGAATTTAGATGGACTTGTCTATGTCTAAACTCATAATGTCTCCAGCTAATCCTCAAGTTTGGTTTAGATCTGAATCATAATGTACCTGTAAATCCAAATACTATTAGAGAGCATATAAAAGTCTAGTCACGACGAGAATTTAAAAAATCACCTCCCTCATGACACACAGTGATTAGATCAATCTACTAACAATCCAAACATTCATTAACATCAATCAAACGGATCAATCCACACTAAAACAAACACATCACACCTCAAAAAAATACAACTCACAAACATATTAACATAGATAGCCTATGGGTTGCCTCCCATGAAACACTTGGTTTAATGTCGTCAGTCCGACGAATCCCAAGGTTATGCATATTTCACTTGCTCACAAATTTTCTTCTTGGAGTTTCCTAAAAGTTTATCCCAAGGTTTGCAGCTTCTGAGCTATGAATTTAAATCTAAAGACTTAACTGATAGGACAAATATCTAGTACTTCAAGCATTCAAAAATATTTTTGGTATTTTGGATTTTCTTTTAAATAGACACACGATAACTAAACATACTATATAATAATACTACAATTTCCAAATATAAATCTGACATGTTCAACTAAAATTCTCCTAAAGTTCTTACCGTAGCCTCCCCGATAATGGTGCCAAAAACTTGACCCTACCTACAATTACGGAGTTATTTTATTTCCTGACAAAAAACTTGACCTAATTTCTTTAGGCGACTAGTGTGCAAAATGGATATGTTTCAGAATTTAGAATTTGATTTATATTTCAAATACTAGGGGTTCTATGTAAGTGCACGTGTCGTTCAAGTAAAATAGGGTTTTCCTTAAAATCCAAAGTATCGATCCCACAGAGAAACGAGTTAAGAAATCCCTTAGGCTAATTCTAGTCTACTACTATTAGGTCTTAGATTGGAATGTCGATTAAGGGTGTTTTCTAATAACTACTTCTAAATACATACCTAAATCTAAAGATAAACCTAACTAAATAAATTGGTTTGGTAAATTTTGAGATATAAAAATTACCTTTCTCTTGTGATGACCTAAATAAGGTGTAAGAATGGAATGCTTAAAATTTAATGTGGCCAGTGATAAAAGAAGCAAACCTACTATTTACCCTCTTCCGAGTCCATAAAGAACATTGGATAACCTATAGTTAAGTTTCTAAACCCTTGGTTATGTTGGATAGGTTCCAGTCTATCACTCTAGATTACTTAGTGTGCCCACAATTTTGGACTAACCTAGCTTGAGTTCTAAACTCTAAATCAAATTGGTAGGATTCTATCCTGTCATCCTAGAATCATCAATATACACCCAATCAACGAATATCTTCCTAACATTGCATTGAATCTCTAGACTATTTATCTTTCTCTCAAAAGCTTAATGTGGTTCCACTTAGTTGAGATTACACCACCCTTCCGGAACTTAATGCACTTACAATAAATTTTAACACCACAACATACCTAATTGCAATGTAAATGAAGTTCAAATGATACCATCACATTTATGAAATAAGAGCATTTCTAAGCAAATCTAAACTCTTAAACATTCATCCAATTCATTGCAAAAAAGTAAAATGAAGATAATGATATAAGCAACAAAATAATTCATAGAATTATGTATTAATTTTTGTGTCAAAAAGGAACATTTGTCTACCTGCCCTCTTTCGAGTGTATATGTATGCTTAATTTCTGTTAGTTTTACACAACTAGCAGAGATGCGAAGGTGGTTAAAGAGCCTTACAGAACTCATGATAAGGTACCCATAAACTTACATCAATTGTCACCTAGAAGCTCCTAATAGAAACAAATCATGAAGTATATTTTCTTAACAAGTTGCATTGTCGCCTAAACTACTTTACAATAGTGAATCAGACAGTGTGAGTGCACTCAAGTTGTGAAGTCACCGCTCTTTTGAGTCTTAGCCTCAACTTACAACAGATTTTAACATAACTTATGACCAATACGTTATGTCGATAAAGCAACAGATATTAATCATCACATAGAAATTAAAATTATTCTATCATAAAATAAAATTTCCCATTTGTACCACTACTTCATAACAAGAGGTAAAAGTAAGGAAAACTACTCACTAAGCATGGAGAAAACACAACATAAAACTTCATTTAAATCAAAGAAAATCCTCTAAATATGTGTTTACAAAAATTATAAGATAATGAAGAACACAATAGTTAGCTTTTTCCCCTTGAAAGAAATATGAAAATCCCTCCAACAAAATCTCCAGTCGATCTATGCAATGCTAATACAATCCCTTATATGTATCTCTTAAAATCCCCTATCCAATCTCTCCATAAAAGGTAAGAATCTACATTTCCTACTCCTATCTATGACCTCTAGACATTCCTGGAGATTTCAAGACTTTGAAATGTGAAAAGGTGCCTTTTCAAGTGCCAAAATTTGCCTAATAATTCCTTGAGGCATCCAGAAACTGTCGGCAACCATTTTTAGCGCCTAAGCTCCAGAAAGTGGCGCCACGACGCCATCTATTTTGTTTTCTGGGAGGGCACTGACGCCTAGGCGTCACTCTGCTGGTAACACCCCCGTTTGCTCCCTTTTCGCTCTGTTTCACCCCATTTCAGCTCCAATCCGCTTCAAGTGTTATACCTTGCTCAATTTGACTCCAAATTGCTTCATTTTCTCCAAAACTCAATCTCTTGTACATGAAACAAAAAACACACAAAATACCTTTCATCAAAGTGCAATATCATTAAAAATGAGCATCAAATATATATATATAAAAGTATCACATTTTTAGGCGTGCCAAAATGCCAACTAGCTACCTCGACTCCACATAGTTAAACGAGTAGAACTTACTGAACCAAAGCCCACATAACTCAGTTGACTAAGTTAGAGGGTAGTCAATACGTAGACCCATACAGGTGAACTGCCAAAATCTTATGCAAAGTCTCCATTAAAGCAGGCTTAAACATGCAATTTCATATATTTATCCTCTCCACTATAAATAGATGATCATTTTATGAGAAAAATGACTAATGAACAATACATTTTACTTTCATTATTGTGCACTTCTCTCTCTCTCTTATCTTACACTTTAACTCTTGAGAAGTGATTCATTGACAAACATGATTCAACACATACATACTACACATTTCATATGTATTTACATATCAAACACTTAATCTTTCTTATTTAAATACATATCACTTATATTTTTGATATCACATAAAAATATCACTATAACTTAATAAAAAAATAAATCATAACATTTCATGTATAGATTTATGATGCAAATGTTAGAAATAAACTTATAAAAATAAGTACCCTAGATATATAATTACATAAAATTGAATGATTTCTAAATTATTTTTATTTATTCGTTTGTTTGGCCATGTGTATTGTGTAGCTCCCCCGTCGCTGTATGCATCTCCTTTCGCGTTGCGCATTCAATCGGTCAGTCGGTCGAAGCTTTTACTTGGGGAAGGAGTGAAGAGCCTAGCTAATTCTGAGGAGTTTGGTTACATTCCGTGGGTGCTTTATCGAATTGGAACCAGATGGAAATGGATTTGGATCCCAGAGTGAAGCTGCTGCCCTACAAAGTCAAGGCAATGTCGAGGGAGTCCCCGGCCGCGAAGGGCGCGAACGTCCTCGACCCCGATTTACGGACGCATTGGTCTACGGGAACTAACACTAAGGAATGGATTCTTCTCGAGCTTGACGTATGATCACCTCCTCGTTTGTTATTTTATTTATTTGTGTTTCCTCTGTATAGCGTTGGAGATTTAAGCAACTGCTGTGTCGCGGAGCATTTTTTGAGGGACAGAATTCGAAGCGCTAGAATTTGCTTTCTCTGCACAGTAAACCTGGATGTAATGGCTGCTTGTGTTGCCATTGAACGTCATATGCTTATTTGTGAATTCCATTTCAGTTGGAATCCGTCTGATTTGATATTGGTAATTGGAATTACTTTGAGGGATCGGAGTGATAGCAATGCCTAATGATATGGGAAATTAGGGTTTTAGAGGAAGCAGGGTTATCCCAGTCAATCGGGAGATGGGTTGTGAATGCAGCTTCTTTTTTTAAGATCATAGTGTTTCTCTCATCATTCTCTCCTTTACGATCGACCTTGTGAGGAGTAATCCCTCTATAAAGTCTGTTGTTGGGTAACTGACTCACCCTAGATCCCGTCGCACCCTTTGCATATCATTAAAATCAGATTGCCAAGACTCATTTCCTAGTTTATTGCTTGGATTAAGGCCACAAATCCCTTAATTTATATTTTTTGTCTCTCCCTCGCTATCACCAACACCCCCTCCCAGAAATGACTTCATTTTTCCCACCACAAACCCAAGGCATATCTTTCTTGTGACTTAGTTAATGTTCTTGCTTAGCTATTGCAATGCTGCTATAAATAAAGTAATTTAACATAAGCAAAACCCTAGGGAGATTCGGGTACAATATGCTTATTTGTAATGCCGTTGAAATTCATATGCTTATTTGTGAATTCCATTACGGTTCGAATCCAGTTGATTGAATATATTGGTTATTGGAATTTCTTTGGGTGATTGGAGTGATAGCAAAGCCTAATGAGGAGAAATTAGTGTTTTGAAGGAAGCAGAGCTATCCCAGTTAATCAGGAGATGGGTTGTATGTGTAGCTTCTTTCTTTAGGTGTATAGTGTTTCTCGCATCATTCTCTCCTTTTCGATCAGCCCTGTGAGGAGTAATCTCTCTGTTGTGTCTCAGGAGAGCTTGAATTAATCCAACTAACCATCTTTGCCACGTTTTTGATACTTGTCTCGTTTTTTGTTTGGATGCTAACATCTCAGGCCTATAGTCGTCTTCTTTCCTAAGCCACATTTCTTTTAGCGGTTGTTGTAATGCGCAACAACAATCTACAAGTATTTTAAAAGTTTGTTGTTGTACTGACTCATCCTAGATCGTATCCCACCCTATGCATGTGATTAAGGGCCATTTGGGACCCCATTATTATGATTTTTTTTGCAGCTTTTACGTCTTGGAGAAGTAGAAGTGGCATTTGGTTTTCCTTTTATTGCCAGCGTTATGCCGGTCAGAGGCCGTATCGAGTCGAACGCGGAAATGCAAGGGGGAGGGTGCGGTTCGCTGCTGGAGCTCCGTTGCGAAGTGCCTTTGACGTCGTTGCCCCGTTGGATTTCTGTTAATCCAACTTCATATCCTCATATATACCCTCGCCACTCCTTTTTCAACCGTATCATTAGGGTTGAAACCTAGTTATGCTCCCCTCCCCTGCCCTTGTTTGGCGCTGGTGACTTGCTGCAACCTTACGATGAAGTTTTCTCCTCTATGATTTTTTTTGAGCTTCATTCGCCGCACACCTCTACGTTTCTTGTTTCCTCTATGAAAATTTTGGCGTGCTAGGTATATTGCATATGTTTTGATGTAAAGTTAAGGTTTGTAAGATAGATTAGTCAACAACACCATTACTGTTCTGATCCATCAGTAGAAACAATTGTTGTATATATGAGCAATGCTCACTTGTTTATTTTATATTTCTTTGTTTATTTTATTTGGATAGTTATATGAGCATTAGTTATCAGTTTTTTTAACAAATTATGCTGAATAAATTTTTTTGATCTTCTCCTCAGTATAGAGTAATATTTTGGGGGGAGAATGTTGGACACTGCTTCTTTTCTTTACTTTAAATGATACTTTTACAAGTAAAATTGCATATGTTTTGCTGCAAAATTGAAGTTTATATGATAGATAAATAAGCAGAATCCTTATCTGTTTGATCAATAAGTAAAAGTAATGTGATGAAATATATATGAACATTGTTCATCTGTTTGTTTCAGATTTATTTTTTAGTTTATTTTATTCAGATAGATATGTGAGCACTTGTTTTTAGTTTTTCTGACAAATTATGTTGCTCGAATTATTTGCTATTGCCTCCTGCTCAGTGTGGAGTAATATCTTGGGGGGAGGATGCTGAACACTGCTTTTTTTTATCTGAGACTTCTGTAAATAGAATTGCATATAGTTTGCTGCACATTTGAGTTCTGCGTGATAGATACGTTAACAACATCCTTACCTGTCCCGATCAATCGATTAAAGCAATGTGATGAAATATATATGAGCAATACTCATCTGTTTTAGATATCTTTGTTGATTTATTTTGTTTGAACAATTATATGAGTACTGATTTTCAATTTTTCTGACAAATTATGTTGCTTGAATTGTTCAGATTATTGAACACTCTTGTTGATAGATTTGTAAATGATTTGCCGCACATTTGAAATGTTTGCATGATAGATAAGTTAGTAACATTCTTACTTGTTCTCATCAATCAACCGAGGCAATGCGGTGAAAAATATATGAACAATGCTCATCTGTTTGTTTTAGATATCTTTGTTGGTTTATTTTATTTAGATAGTTATATGAGCACTTGTTTTCAGTTTTTCTGAGAAATTATGCTGGCTGAATTGCTCAGAATGTTCAACACTGTTTTTTATTTTGAGACTTTTATGAATAGAATTGCCTTTATTTTGTTGTATATTTGAATTATGCATGATAGATAAGTTAGCAATATCTTTATCTGTTCTGATGAATCAACAGAAGCAATGTGATAAATTATATATGAACAATGCTCATATGTTTGTTTCAGATTTTTTTGTTGGTTTATTTTGTTTGGATAGTTATATGAGCATCGATTTTAAGTTTTTCTGACAAATTATGCTGATCGAATTGTTTGCTCTGACCTTCTTCTCATTGTGAAGTAATATTTTTGAGAGAGAATGTTGAACACTATTTTTTATGTAGTTTTTTTTTTTTCTGCTGAAATTTTTATAAATATAATTAATATGCTTTACTGTACATTTTGTATGATAGATAAGTTAGCGACATCCTAACATGTTCTGATCAATCAGTAGTTGCAATGAGAAGAAATATATATGAGCAATGCTCATTTATTTGTTTCAGATTTCTTTGTTGTTTTATTTTGGTTGGATAAATATGAGAGCACTGATTTTAAGTTTTTGTAACAAATTATGCTAGCCGAATTGCTTGTTCTTTTCTTCTCTTTAGTGTGAAGTGATATCTTTGGGTGGGGGGGGGGGGGTGTTGGGGTTTTTTTTTTTGTCGTTTTTAACAGTTTTATTCTGTTGGGATTTTCAAGAATTTATATGCATTTGCTCTGCTGTATATTTGAAGTTTGCTTGATCAGACAATAGAAACTATGGAATGTAGTAAATTTTAGCATTGTTTATCTGTTTCTTTCATAAATTTATGTGTACCTACAATGCATGTGTTTTCACTGAGGATATAAGCCGGATAAGATATCAAATGGGAGATGACATTCAAATGTTACTTAGAGCAATGATGGAAAATAACTATCAAAAGGTTCAACCGATCACCACTTGTCAATTTTAAATTGGCGAGGTTGTTTTCCCTTAGATATGCCAGCCAAAATGTTTGAGTGCGTATTCAATTTGGAAAAACAATGATTATGGATGAAATCTTCTTTGGTTAAGAGATCTCACCGAACTCTAATTGTTCCCTTGAGGATCCGAATTGGCTAGTACAATAGAAACATAAAATTGGTTATGGTATCTTATCCTACATGTATTCTGACGGTTCACATTAGTTCTTGGATATGCATAACAAACATTCTTTCAAAAAATAGGTCAAGATAGTTGTTGCAACAATCACGCTCCATAATTTTATACAGAGACATCCATCCCAAGATGATATCAATTTCAGGGTCTTGGATGATGATTATACCTATGCTTGAGAAAGCCAACCAACATCAAGAATAGATATGCATTTGCTCTGCTGTATATTTGAAGTTTGCTTGATCAGATAATAGAAGCTATGGAATGTTGTAAATTTTAGCATTGTTTATCTGTTTCTTTCATAAATTTATGTGTGCCTACAATGCATGTGTTTTCACTGAGGATATAAGCCGGATAAGATATCAAATGGGAGATGACATTCAAATGTTACTTAGAGCAATGATGGAAAATAACTATCAAAAGGTTCAACCGATCACCACTTGTCAATTTTAAATTGGCGAGGTTGTTTTCCCTTAGATATGCCAGCCAAAATGTTTGAGTGCGTATTCAATTTGGGAAAACGGTGATTATGGATGAAATCTTCTTTGGTTAAGAGATCTCACTAAGCTCTAATTGTTCCCTTGAGGATCCGAATTGGCTAGTACAATAGAAACATAAAATTGGTTATGGTATCTTGTCCTGCATGTATTCTGACGGTTCACATTAGTTCTTGGATATGCATAACAAGCATTCTTTCAAAAAATAGGTCAAGATAGTTGTTGCAACAATCACGCTCCATAATTTTATACAGAGACATCCATCCCAAGATGATATCAATTTCAGGGTCTTGGATGATGATTCTACCTACATGCTTGAGAAAGCCAACCAACATCAGTACAGAGCTTCAGTGCAAGAAGAGGAATGTGGGAATCCAGAGCTTGCTGATTACCATTGTTGTTCTAGTTATTGTAGTCATTTGCTCCAATTAGCTAATTATTTTTTTTTATGTAATAGAATATTTTGGACTAGATTGTTAGTTTTTTTAGCAGTACAAACTCTTTGTTATTTAATTTTGAATAATCTAAAAATGACACTTATTTCAATATATTACATATATAAGAGCAAAAGAGTCTTTCTCAACAGAAACAACAATATCACAATAGATTTCTCAAACAGACGTCTGCTTCTTCATCATTAGCTTTCTAACAGCTCCTGAAAAGCTGCTTCTCCAGGAAGAGCTTTACAGCAACTTCTTGAAAAAAACAACAGCCTAAGATCGGATTGCCAGGAATCCTTTCCTAGCTAGTATATTGCTTGGATTAAGGCCACAAATCCCTAAATTTAAATTTTCTTTCTCCTTCACACACACACACACACACTTGCACAAACACATTCTCTCCCCTTCTCTACCACCAACCCCCTCCCCTCATAAATCACTTCATTTTTCCCAACACAAACCTAATTCGCATCTTCCTTGTGTGAGAGTGAATATTCTTACATAGGTATTACAATGTTGCAATAAATGAAGCCATTTCACAAGAGAAGGCACATTTGGGTACAATTGCTTAGTTGAAATGCCGCTGAAAGTCGTATGCTTATTTGTGAATTCCATTGCGATTCAAATCCGCATGATAGATATTGGTAATTGGAATTACTCTGGGTGATCAGAGTGATAACAAAGCCTAATGAGACGAGAAATTAGGATTTTGAAGGAAGCAGAGTTATCCTAGCTAATTGGGAGATGGGTTGTGAGTGCAGCTTCTCTCTTTATGTTTATGGTGTTTCTCTCATCTTTCTCTCCTTTTCAATCAGTCTTGAAGCAGTAATCTCACTGTTATGTCTTGGAAGAGTCCAAATTAGTCCAAGTAACCATCTTTGCACATTTTTGATACTTTGTTTTCTGTTTGGCCGCTAACTTCTCAGGCCTCTAGTCATTTTCTTTCCCCATTTCTTTTAGCGGTTGATATAATGCTTGACAACAACTCACCTGTATTATAGAAGTTTGTTGTTGGGTAACTGACTCATCTTGGATCTCGCCCCACTCGGTGCATATCGTGAAGATCAGATGCCCAAGACATCTTAATTGCTTGGATTAAGGCCACTAATCCCTCAATTTAAATTTTATGTCTCCTTCACACACACACACACACACACACACACACACACACACACACACACACACACACACACACACACTTTCTCCCTCACTCTCTATACCACCAACCCCCCTCCACCACCAAAAATCACTTCATTTTTTCCAACACAAACCTAAGGCATGTCTTGCTTGTGAAAGAGTGAATGTTCTTACTTTGCTAGTGCAATGTTGATATAAATAAAGCCAGTTCACATAAGAAAAAACTTTAGGCACATTTGGGTACAATATGAAGGAATAGTAATACAAGTTACCAATAGGGTGTTGACTTTAGTTTGTTTGTGCACATGTTTCTCACTACTGTGGTTCCACGCTTGGAAATAAGATTCTGCAATTGAAACAACAATGCTGGTCATACTAGTTTAATAAATCTTTGTTTAGCACATTCTAATAGAAATGAGGTATACAATTAAAATTTTACTGTGGTTATTGAAACTCCCATAATGCTATCTAATTGCTTGTCTTTCTGATCCATTAAATACCTCTACTTAAATTGATCTCTCCTGTCTTTTATCTCTCATAAAACTCTTATTTGTTATACTATTCTGTTGCTCCTTTTATCTGCAGGAATCTTGTCTCTTGTCAAATGTACGAATCTACAATAAATCTGTCCTTGAATGGGAAATAACAGTTGGATTACGGTACAAGGTGAGTGAAACAGCGTATTGTTTGTATAAGGCCATGCACTACATTTGCTTTTCATTTGCACTAATGTGTAATCTCATCTGTTATGTTGAAAAAAGATTATGTATGACCATAGTTATCGCATTCCTTCTAAATTTTCCTATAAAAAGATTGTTATTGCCCGATGCTTTGTTTTATGGAAAATGAGTTTGAATGTTGGCATAAAACCTTCTAACCCAGACTTACATCCTAAAATTGTATTGGGCGGGTATTTTTACTATGATGCTAAATTTCCATATGTTATGTGTCTTATTTTTTTTCTTAACTCAATCAGTTAGGTTCCTTCATTTATGTTGATATTATTTATTTATATGGTTAGGATTGCTTGAAATATTTCACCATATGAGTGGAGATTCCTCTTAGTTTGTTATTATGGTTCAAAATTTAGTCGTACTGATCACTCTATTGGAAGGCAACTCATTGAGATCAGTTTGTCTGAATGGTGCTAACATTTTACTAATGGCTATGCGTCGATGCCTGTATTGGAGCCAGTTATAGTGTCCCTTATTTTACAAAATATTAATGACTTCTGAAACTAGTTTATTATGTATTTTCATGTTGACATGCTATCTTGCCTTATTCTTCTAGTAGAAGTAAAAGTTGCAGCATTCCAATTGTTTAATGGTGATAAGTAATATGCTTTCTTCTAAAATTGATGATAAATCAATTAATTCATGCTCTATGAAAAATTGGAAGCCAATACTTGTCAAACATAAGTTATATACATTGAAACGAACAAATGGATAATTTAAGCAATGCTTTGCTATCCTTTACTTCAGTTTTTTTTTTTTTGGTAGTTTTTAGATTTTACTAGTATTTTACTAGTTATTTTGTTGTTAAGATACACAAGAACATTTTAGTGTATTTGTGGGGGATAATTTCCATCACAAAAAAACCCTGAATTTTTCACAAATATGATTTGTGGCATATTTCTTAATAACAGTCCATTACAACAACAATTCTTCTTAATTTATTTTGTAACAAAAGAAAACATTTGTTAAAAATGTTGCAACCACTTTGTGATAAACGAGAGACATCAGTGATTTAAGATTGCTTTGTGACAAACTATTATGTCATTTGTCTATGGGATAACTTATATTCAGCAAAATCCATTGCAAATCCATCATTTTGTTGTTACAAATGCTATAATATCAATCATTTATCTTACAAATCTGCCACGATTCCATTACAAACGTTTGCAACTTTCACAAAATTATTGTAAACCCCTTGTCAAATGAACCGAAAAGTGATAATAAAACAAAGCTTCCAATTTTTATACCTGCATATAAAATGTATTGTAATATCAACCGTAATAATGTTGAGACATCAGAACACAATATTGATTATAGTACTCCAAATCCGTTAGGAGTTACAATCACAATATCAATAATTACAAATTATTTAAAAGTTATTAACAATGTAATATTAATAATTTTTAAATTTAGAGGTTCAGTCATTATAAACATTTTAGTTCTTGTCATAGACACTTTATAATATAAAAAAAGTTATTCTTGAAATTTAAACTAAATACATTCTCATTTTAATGGGGTGATCACTCTTTATTTTCATCCTCATTAACCTTGGGGAGCTTTTCTGCATCTACTATCATTACATTATTTTGCATTTTTTGTCATCTAATGATTCGATATGGAATTCAAAACACATTTGTATAGTTTTTGTCTTCTCCTCTATCTCCCTTCATTGTTGTGGTTATCCCGACTTAAGTTGAACCCCAAGAGAATCATCCATGCACATATCACGAATAGCCTTGTTGAAATCAGAGTGAGCGTCATCGAGTGTGTATCCAAGCACCCGACCCTTATTCTAGTTTTTGAAACCTTATCCACTCATCATGATCAACATCAGCCTCATAGCAAGTTGGTTCTTCATATTTCATAGTAAGAGCGGCAATTTAATTGTCTTGTACATATGTGAAATTTAATACAATATATTATATTTACTTTTATTAGTCTTATTGCTAGTATTCTTGATGTACAATATGAAGATATACACATCATTATATGATGTGAACATGCTTTTATAAACTGTTTCATGTCCTTATTCATGTGTCCTTTTAAGCACCTTTATTTATAACGGCGTCATTCCCTATGTTGCAAACACATTAGAAAATAAAGTAAATTATAACAATGAGGAATGCTTAATTATTTATTACCATTGAACTTATAATTAAAGCATCATTCCCAATGTTAATGTAAGTGATGAAAGGGATGGAGCGACCACTGCCACCCTCGTTCTTCATAAGGCTATTTGAATGAGCCTTTTTTAATTAACCTTTTCGACTTGTGTGTTTCAATTGTCAATCATGTGTAACTACATAAATATAGCTGAACATTTAGGTCGGCTATTAACTCAAGCAGTGTTGTGCTCAAAGTTAGTTACCATTGTTGCATGCTTGGCCTAAAATCTTAGTGACGTGTAACGACACTAAAATCATAAATAATAAACTTTACTAGACATTAGAAATAAATACTAGAATAAATAAGATGGTGTTATCCCTAAAAATACACCCACTACATCTTTCTCTGATTATGTTGAATGTAGCTCCACAACATTGACTGTGCACTCCATTTTTTAAGACTTACAATTGCTGAATGGGTGGCCTTTGGATTTCCGAACGTTCAATAATTTATACTTTCAATCACCTATATAATTATGGATTGTCTTTGCTAATCAACATTTTTTTTGCTTTTGGCCCATGAAAAACTATTTCTAGTCCACTGTAATGAATCTCATCATGCTTAATAATCACATCCTTCTGCTTCTTTACCTTAGTTTGCTCATCTTTAGTTGCTTTCTCTTGGTGCTTATCGAATGATCTATGACTAAACCTTCTTGTTTATTTTCGTGCACATCCTCAAAGGATTATATCTAGGATATAGAAATCAACTTCTTTGAACTTCAATAATTTTTTTTCACCTCATCTTCAAATGAGAGAACAAACAAAGTTTGATCCACTGAGTTTCAGGATTTTTTTCAAACCAAAGGCTCCCAAAAAAGTATAATACTGGCCTTTAGTGTTCATCCTGAAAACCCAAACAAGTCTTATTAGGAGCAAGTGCACCGAGTCCTTTAGATATTGAAATTTATATAATGTTATCTTATGATGTTCATAACAAAGAAGAAACAGGGAAAACAACTACGTCGGTGATATCATTTGATTTTGTCTATTTGTAGTAGATGACAACTCAGAAGAAAGGATCTATGAATCCTTTGCACTGTCTAGAATCCACAAACTGGCCAGGTAATATCATCACCACTCATTTACCCCATGTTTAGGCCCCTTCATCTCCAAGTTCTGAGTCTTCTGATCTTGAATCCAAGCCCAATTTGAATCCCAAGTCTAATGAGTCTAGTATTCCCATTGGAGAAAAATCATGCAACCAACATCTATTATCCCACTATCATATGCAAACCTCGCACCCAATTTTCGTGTTTTTGCCTCACAATTGTCATGTATGCGAATTTTGAAGTTTTGTGCAGGATGCTCTATAAGTCCCTAAGTGGATGTGGGTAGTTTTTGAATAAATGAAAGCTCTTGAAAAAAAATGGCACGTGAGAATTGGTTGATCTACCTATAGGAAAGACAAATATCGATTGCAAATGGTTCTTTACGGTTCACGGTGGAAGCTTCAATGGGACTCGAATTTTGATTTTGCTTTCTTGAATAGCTTTAAACAGGTGCTTTTCCTTTTTGTTAATAGAAATTGTAAGTGACCCCGCCTTTTTGAGTGTAATGGTGGCTGATGGCAACCCCACTGCCTCTTTTGTGTAGTTTTTATAGTTCTTTTTTTGTAACTTTTTGATTTTTTAATGCAAAATGCATACCCTTCACCGGTTTAAAAAATCAAGTTTTAAGTATTAATATTGGAGCACAGTAATTATTGAAATCTGATTACTTAAAAAAATGCAACAATAGTGTTTAATGAATTAACTTATTTTACCACAAATACCAACATTTTATGAACATACCATGGAGCTATAAATTCTAGAGAAGACATAAGAAAATGATACAAGGGAACTTTTTTTTTTTCTAAGAATGTGCTAGATTCTTTCCCTTACCTATTGTCATCATCATTATTATTTTCATCGTCCTTGTCATCATCATCTATAATAAATGAGCCTTACCTTCTTCTAATAGTTGCTGGTGGTTTTCAAATAAGTTCTAATTGTTTATTCTTCACTAAAGTTCTTTCATCATCAAGTTTACTTAATATGCAAACATGAAAATGCTGATATCTACTTCCTAATAAATACATTTATCATCTTTAATTTTCTTAATATCACTATGGGGGTGTTTGAATATTACTTGTGCCAACGGTCTTACCCTCAATTCAACAATCTTTCCCATGCTTAGATTAATAAGTTGCATGGTAAACTTGTTGAGCTTCTTTAGCAAGTATGAATGCCTTATTTGCTGCAAGTTGGGATTTGTATTTTATTTTATTAATTTCATGACAGTTATAAAAATGACTCCTCTCGTAGTATCAATTCATTCACATTTATGTGACGTCACTAGTGAATCTACATAGTTTAGCTTAATTGTTCTCTTCAGTAATATATAATAATCACATTCATATGCATTATAAGATTGTCTTTTAATCACATACACCGCTATTTATTATTGCTTTTTCATTCCCATATTCTTGTATTTGAAATTTATATCAATTACTAGTTTTTATCCGTGGAATGTGCATATTGCATTAAAAGATCAAAAGGATACAAAAAAGATGTACAAAACTAAATCCGGTCGGCTTCAAAAGTGTAAGATCTGAGGCCTGGTCAATGATAGCCATAAGGCCACTTGGAACTGATCCAGGAAGAAATGAAAAACTATAAGACAAAGCAAGCTATGCATAAAAATGAGCTGCCTTGTTACAAAAGCGAGGAGCGAAAAGAAATAAAATTTGTCTAAACTTTAAGAGGAAGGCGATGTCAGGGCTGTC